GGTAGGTACGCGACGAGTTCCGAGTGAGAAATTAATTTTGCGGGCAGCGGAGGAAGGCGTGCGCAACGCGTGAGATCCACGTGGTTGACAGAGTTTGGCTCTCCCCTTCGCAGGCTCCGGTCCTTCTTCAAATCCTGTCGCAACCACTGATGCGAGCCCAAAAAAACTCCCGTATTTTCTCGTGGGACCATGGCTACCACCAACCAATTCACTCCTTCTATTTCTTTGGAGCCTTCCTATCCTCCTACTCCAGCCACCATTCTTTTCTGCAGTCCAGATATGTCATCCTGACTTCAGCTTTTTCTCTGAGATCCCAGGAACAATCAGCCGGTTAGATACGAATATATGAATGACCACCATCTCCTTGGTTCCTCAAGGAAGGTTTGCAAGGACATGACGCATATGATCACGAACTCTAACTCTGTTAGGATGGTATCCTATGGTATCTGATAGGGTCTTTGTCCTCAGCAGCAGCCTCTTTGGAACAATGTCCCCCAAAATGTAGATGCTCCGATCGAGACCACTTTGTACTTCAGGTCCTGATCCTACGGATTGCTACGTCTCAAGACTTGGAGATCGGCTATCTCCTTTATTACTCTGACAGAAAAGGTGTAATCGGGTTCGGCTCATCGGGTAAAGCCTGAGGATGTTTCCACCAGCGCGGCTCGTATTAACCAGCTCAGGTGCCTGGAACGACTGGCTGGCATAGCTACCCCGCCCACGCGAAACCAAATAATATTTCTTTCCCGGACTGGTGAAGTTTGTGTTGGTTGCGAGGCTCTTCAATTTCGATCCACCATTCCATTATGATTCCATTTCCACTCCTTGCCGTTTTTTGCTTGTCTGCGCTCAGCTGATCCCTGCTCAGTCTATTGATAGGTATTTACACTAACATATCCCCGGATGCCCCCGCTTCTCGTTTACGATTATCTTAAAAGCGAGATAACCAGTCCATGGTCGAATGTTCCCCTCCGTTTTGCTCTTCACTCGTCGACGGGTAATACGCCCCTCCCCTACTCCCCCCTTCTTTTTTCACTATTCTCTTTCCCTTTCTCCACTTTTCTTTGGGTTTTCTTCGTTCTTTTCTTTGGGCCATCCCCGCCTCTTTCGTCCATATATTTTGTTTTTAGGGTGCCTCTCCCGTTCCGTTCCGGTCGACTTTTGCGAGATTCCTCAGATTCCTCCAGGGCTTTAATTGGACGTTTCAGAATCCGGTGTTTAAAGGATATATCTCGGGGTGTATTGAGTGCACGCTCCAATTGTTTGATATTTGGGGGTACGTCATTGTTGATTTTTCGTCTAGTTTTAATAATGACTTTTTGGCTTTTCCCTCCCCTTCACCATGTAACAAGAACACTTCATAGACGCCTTTGCTTACCTGACAACACTCTTAATCGCTAGCCAAGTGCCAACTTTATCACCACCGAATCCAAATCATCCTTATAACTTTACTACTCATCTTACTCATCCGACTTCATTCTAACACGTCCTATTCATAACTTTGTCGCGTTAATAATTGTCTTTCGAATCACTCCCCTACCCTTCCGAGCCCGTGCCCTTTGCTCCCAGCTCCCAGCTTCACCACCGCATGGTTTACCGCATCCCAACGCATCTCGAGACGTTTGTTCCACCTCCCGCCCCGCCCGTCCCTTCCAATAGCCAATCCGCTTTGACACACCCATGGAGAGGCAGGTTCATTGTCAGTGGCATGCGTGCTTCTGACATTGGAAATAGTCAGGAGATCGGAGTCACAGCAGTCGAAACTGATGGAGAAACGTGAGTAAAAGGGTCCCTTTAGTCTCTTTTAATTTCCTTTGTGTTTGGGGGTTCTCCCGTTCACAACCCCTACGAATTTCTTTTCCTTGTTCCCGGAAAAGAAGGCCTTGTTATATCGTTTTTTTTTGTTCCCGATAACGAACATAGAGCTAATTTGTGTGCTAATTTCAAGACCCCCTAGTTCAAGTCACCTCTGGCCTCCGAGTCTGATGTTTACCATAGCGAAACCACATGCTCTCCCTATTTTGAAACAGTTGCAAGAGTTTATCAAAGCTGCGGCTGCTCAAGGAAGACCTGTTCCTTTGTCCACGTTCATGCCCGAACGCCTAAGGGATCCAAACGCGAACACTGTCAATCAGTCTATGTTTCGGTCTTTATCGAGGGTATTGTGGGATGATCAAAACGTCAGTTTAGTTTTTATTTTTGGTTTTCTTCGCTTCTTTTCACGAGATCTCTGATTTGACAATCTTGTAAAAATTTTTTTTCTTCCTCTCCTAACATAAAATACAGGTCGCCGTGGTTCCCTTTTCCACTCCTTCACCGAGAGTGTCTTCACCTCAAACGCACAATCCTTCCGCTAACAGAAGTATGGGGATATTAATTTATCCTGCATCCAATTCTTCAGCTATCCTTATCGGGGCGATCTTTCTGGACCCTTCTCAAGGCTTCCCTGATTTTGTGAATGCCGCTCAACGACAGCATCATCATCAGTCACATCCTTCTCCACCTTCCTTATCCCCTCATCAAGTTCAATCGACTCAGACGTCGATGCAAAGCCAGCAACCGAGCCAAGGCGGTGGCGGTTACCCCCATTCCACTTACAGTACCATGTCTTCCGGTAGTCGCGGACGAGACGAAGTTCCCATTTCACCTACTGTCATTAATTCCCGCAGCAACATCCAACGTCAACAGTTCACCTCGTCCTTTTCGTCACCGTCTACATCATCACGTCAGCGCTCTGCTTCAGAGTCTTTCCGGCATTCATCTCCCTACGGGCTGGTCGCGAGGCAATCGCAATCTTTGAGTCCCACTTCTGAAAATGCTGGAGAGGCAGTGGATATACGGCAACAGTTCCCTCCTCAAATTATGCCTAATCCTCTTACACGCCTCACACCTGGGGCTCCGGGAAGTGGTGGTGAACATCATCATCATCATTATCATCACCCGGCTGCGTTCCGGAGTATGACGCCGGGTTCGACAATCCCTGGGTTGTCTGCTCAGTCTCATGCAGGTTATGCTTCATCTGCTGAACGGTTCACGTCCGAAAGTGCAGGTGGAGGTGGTCAATATGTTGCCCATATGAACACTCCTTCGTCCGAGTCTGCTTCGTCTAGCGGTGGACAGTATCCAGAGGGTAGGTCACCGAGGCAATACGGTACTACTCAGGGTACTTATCCAACTGGAGGCCGAGGCTCAGGAAGCACTTCCCAATCTCACTCTCTTTACGGCCCATAATAACCCTTTTTCTTTTTCATTGATAACAACGTCATGACAGTATCCGACTCTCCTTCTCCCTCTTCTTTTTTATCAAACTTAATTACCCGATTCTACGACTCAAACATGGAATTTTCCGCTCTTCGACACAGCGTAAACTTGTGTCGAGCAAACATACCCTCTCTCTCTCTCCTTTATCTTGAAATTGACGTGTAACATAGTATATTCTTCCGACGCACAACAACTGCATTAGCTATCCCATTATCTTGCCATTGTATTTTTATGCGATTTCTCCCCTGTGTTTTCTCTTCTGTTGTTACCCAAAAGTTTTAGATTCCCCATCGTTTTTTGATCATATACCAAATCTTTTTTCTACTTATCTCTCTTCGCTCTCTGTTTCCATTTGATTGCTCTCTCTCGACCAGGTTCCATTATACCCGTGATTCCCGTGATTCCCCCTTGCCTGCTCCTCCACATGTGCACAAAACTATTGGTCGACTAGTTACTCTTATAACCCAATCCCCTCCAGATGTATCATTATGTACCTATCTACCCTATCCTATCCTACCTCGCTTGTGCTTTCCTATACTGCTCCTTATACCAAACCAATATCTTCCTTTTCTCTTTAGACCCGATATCCGCTTTCCTGTCTAGAGTGCTACATACCACTGCACGTCATTATATACCTTTATACCAACACCACTTTCTCGCTCGAAAACTCTATCCTCAAACTTTCTCTCTCTGCCGTTATTGTTGTTATTGTTTTTTAAATCACTCTCTTCGACTTCGACTTACTTACCTACTTGCTTACCTACTGACTGCGCTACTTCTACTGCTTACGAAGGTTTCCACTCGAATCCGGGATTGGGTATCTTCCTGTATCTTCTCGTTAATATCCAACCGCTCGCCTCCCTTCCTTTTTGTTCTTTCCCCTTCTTCCTTCTATCCGACCCTTTTTAACTACCTCGAACCCTTCCCTTTTGATTGCGTTTGACTTGGAAAAACGCCCGCCATTTATTGCTCCTTTCCGGCTCCCCTTCTCTCTTTTCTTGTGGCTTCATTTTGTGGTATCTGGTAAGTTAGTTAGTCTTTTAGTTAGTTAGCTGGTTCGTCGGTCATGTTGTTGAGTAGGAATCTCTCTCTCTATCTCGAAATGTATTTGTAGCTCTGTCAATACCAATTTTTTTCTCGTTCTCTTGGACGTCTTCCCGGTGGATCGTGCTCGGGGCCCGTCGAAGCTCGAATTACTCATCTATCTACTCATGCATATTAAATAAACGTTAGGTTCTAGCTCTCTTGGCTTCATAAACGTAGGGTAAATTAAATACACGAACGTTTTGAGAATCTTCGCTTTGATAATAACTGAACTCTATCAACACTGGTTATTCACGTACGAGATTTCGGTGTAAGTAACAAGGTTGGAGTGATCTCTGGGCAGGTTTTCACGCCCGGCGAATTAATAGATATCCAAAGCGGGCGGCCGTGTCTCTTTCGTTTTCATATGTGGATATACTTACCCAGAGAGGGACGTCCACTGAGATACCACTTACATGATGTCGTATAAATTATAATATTAGCCACCTAGACTTGGATCCTTACGTTGTGATACTGGTGATGATGCGCGCAAGTGACCTTTCGAAGATATACTTATTCATGAACACTCAGTCACTTTTAATACATCTACGGGAATCTGCGCGACATTTTTGAAATGGAAAGAACAGATCCCAGATAAATCCAACAGTCTTTTCACTTACAGATTACTCAGAGCTGGAATGCACAGTAAGTGTGTTGCCCGCCTAGCTCAATCGGATAGAGCGTCAGACTCTTATCTTACAGCAAGTCATTTGTAAAGGCATCTGAAGGCTGCGAGTTCGACCCTCGCGGTGGGCTATGTGACTGTGATGCTAGGCTCACAAATGTTTTTGTTGAATCCAGATACATTGTCAATATTGACTATGTAGTTCCGTTATAAGTGGAAATCTCCCTCAGGCTTTTCAAATTTCCACGTTCCTGACATTGGCTCTTGACTTGACAAAGGCGCGAAGGGGTTCACCTTCAGTCGTTGGCAGAAAAAAATCATGAAAGTACAGAGGTGAACTGCAAATCATATCAGTTACAGAGCTCTCCGAATAAAGTAAGTACACACCGAACTTACTCTGGATCATATTCTTCTGGAAGCACGAACTCAAGCTTTCGGAAAAGATACCCTAGTAGTAGGTAGAGTTCGCACCATGCAAGGCTGATGAGAAATGAGCGCACTGCATTCGATGTCCGGTCAATGATATCATCATATGGTACTTACTTGAAACCAATACAACTCCGGGGTCCTCTACTAAAGTTCACCAAGTACTTCTCAGAATTCACTTCCGGATCCACATTCGGTTTGGTATTGAGCCATCTTTGCGGGTCGAACTTTTTTGGCTCCGGGAATAGTCTTGGATTCCAATGGACAAATATTGACGAAATACCAATGACGGTCTGGGGAATGTATGAGATTCAATCCTTAGAGAGATTCATACATTTAGTATACATACTCCAGCGGGAATAGTTTCACCCAGCAGAATAGCATCTCCCGGACCTACTATCCTCCCTTTTGGTGAAACAACTCCATGTGAGAGACGGAGACTTTCTTTGATTACCGCTGTCTATCCCAATAGATGGATATATGGGCTTCCATTGGTCACTGGTATACTGATAGTTCAGTAGGAGCAAACTTACCAGGTATGGTAGCTTTTCCAGTTGTTCGTAAGTCATATCGGAATCCGAATTCTTGGTCCAAGCATCGTCAAGCTCTTGAAGTAACCGCTTCAAGACTTCTCTCCGTGTGAGTACGTATCTCAAAGCAACTAAGCATGCATTAGAGATCGTATCAGTACCCGCAAACCGTAGGTTAATGATCTCGGAGATGAGTCGTCTAGGCCGGAGTAGTGTGTTCAGTCTACCTAGCGTCGCTTTGGAGTTCTCTCGGTTTATAATTTGTTCTTGAATCCTTCGCAGAATAAATGGATAAATGAGAGTCTCCGTAGAACTGTCCACATCCAATAAATTCATGTTCACATTACAAGGGGATAGCCCGCCACTATTGCAGTCAGGTTGGCATCGACTACGAAGCTCGGACAAATCAAAATCCTCCAGTGTTCGATCGAGTTCCTCCCGAATTAGTTTGATTTGAGCCTGCACTACGCCCTTAAATGGTCCATGCGCTAACACGAGACGTGTGAGCGCTCCAAAAACTGGAGTAGTCGAATCTGGGAGGTATTTTGTAAGCCAGATATTCAGCAGCGCTGGTTCTTCGCGGCGCACGAATAGATGATTGAATTCAGGAACAGAAAGCATATTGAATGAACGGGTGAACATGAGTTCTGTAAGAATATCCAAAGCCGTTGAGGGGATTGCATGGTCCAAATTAGCTGGCGAGCCAGTTTCAGGTCCATATGATTCTAGAGAGGAAATGAGTTTCTCGACCTGAACAGATGGACAAAGTGAATAAGTAAATTGAATCTCGTAACTTGCTACGAACTTTATCTCGAATTATATGCTCCCTTTTAATGACTGCGCGTCGAGACAAGTAGGGTGCGAGTATGTTCCGAAATACTGCTGCATCTTGGGGATCTGGAGTAGTGAAAACCGAGTCAACAGTATTCCCGAATGATCCATATAGAACCGGATCCTTGTGGAAGCAGGAACCGAGGGAGTAAATCTCGCCGTAAGCACGAGGGTCATTGAAATGTAGCTGCCACACTCGGAAGTCAGTTTTGAGGTAATTCAAACTTCGAGTAATCACAATTCGGACCTCGTTCGGCCCAACTCTCACAATGGGACCTATACTGGCGGTATTAGATCATGAGAGTTCCAGAAGCTGAAGATGAGGCCGCGTACCGTACATCCTGTGAAGCACCTCTAAGTGTTTCAACCATCCACCCTTTTTGACTAAATCATAGTAACCTCTATACAACGTTGTCCATCGGGCGATAAAAGGACCAGGAAACTTGTTCAGTGGGTCTCTTCGAGTTCTTCCTACGAGTAAGACAAAGAGAAGAGCCACAGAGGCAATGAACATTTCTGTTAAGAAGTTGAGTGCCATAGGGAGGTGATTGAGTCAAAGGTGTTCGTGCTATTTATACCGTCCTTGCGTGCATGTTGTCTGTTCAATGACAGTCCACTATTTTACAGATTAAACGCCACGGCAGTTGTGCGGTATGCTTCATTATGTACAGCTGACGTTGTCGGTTGACGGTAGAGAGTAGATTAAAGATGGCAAGATTACGGCAACTGTCGTGTCAAGGTTCGAACTCCGATGTGATTCACCCCGCCGAGTATTGCCGTCTGACTTTCATAAGTAGGTAATGTTCAGACTTGAAGACATATACACATTATAAAGCGATACTCGTACAGTAAGTCAGTTATTGCATAGAGTACTTAAGCTTTCAAGCATTAACCAAACCAAGGTTACCTTTCTCCAGGTTGACATACATTCCATTGAGAACCTCCTGCCTGAAATTCCCTTGATAATCAAACATAACAACGAGTGCTTTGTCTGAATTCAATTTCCAAAGAACCTGCTTCGCCTCCTCGTCTTCCCCGGTTAATGATTCAACAGCCTTAGGCGTCAACAGAGGTCCATCAGGAGTAAGAAGTTTCGGGTCCAGTCTTTGCGCGACTGATTGAAGCATTTCGGGATCAGAAGGCGCGATGGCATGTTCACAAAATTCCATTGCCTCCATGACCTCCTTCTCGCCGAGAGTAGGATCTGATTCGGTGGCACCTTGGATTACAGGTCGGAGGAAGTCAAACGCTCTATCAAAATTGTCTTCGTCTACATCTGCAAGGACAGGAGAGGACTGGGCTTTCATTTGCTTGTAAGCAGCCCAGACTACAACCAAGAATCTATATCAAACCGAGGAGTTAGTCCTTCGCACTGTACCTTCAAACGTCAATTTGAATTTACCGTGTATAAGATGTCCCGATTTTCTGATTATGGAAAGCTACAGCTTGATCTTCCGTGCATTGTCCTCGGATTGATGCAGCGATGGTCGCTGCCGCTGAAAGTCCACCAGTGAAGGCCAAGTGAACCCCGGAGGAGAACAATGGATCAATGAATGCTACCGACACATAGATCATTCATCCGTCAAGGATCCTTTAATCAAGAAAAATACCTACCTCCAGCATCCCCAGCGATACGATACCTGGTTCCTGCATACTGGCTGCCTTCGCTTGAATAACTGTAATCGCCCGCAGTCTTCAGATCACCGTTGAATGTCGCTTGACCCAACAATTTTTGAAGACCGGGGACAAGTTTCAGTTGTTCCAGATAGAGGGCAGTGTTCCGGTCCGATCCTTCCTCTAATGAGAGGTTCCCCTTCTTGGATCGACCGGATTGCTCGGACATGACGACTCCGACCGAAACAGTCCCTAAGAAACGTTGTTAAAAAAAAAATTGAATGTTGAGCATAGAAGGTAAATACCGTTGTGCAATGGAATAAACCAAGCCCATCCAGTCTCGTCTAAGAGAGAACGATTTCTATCAAGATAAAATACTCGAGAGAATTATGAAAACCACATACCAGTCAAAGCTTCGAACCACGGTGCGTTCTCTCTCCTCGTCCCGGGCATATACATACCCGCCCCAGTCCAGTAGCCCCAGTATGCAATATTTCTCAAGCTCTCGTTGAACTTGCGAGTCTTGAGGTACTTTGTTGACATGATCCCAGTCCTCCCAGAAGCATCGACCAAGTAATCAAAAGAGATGGTGCCACTTCTATTGGTAGTCGATTTGGATGACCATGTGGCGGAAATCGGTTGGTCAGGATCAGTCTTGGAAAATTGAATATCGGTGACACTGATGCCTTCATAAACGCGGGCACCACATTCCGCAGCATGACGAAGGAGGATTTCATCGAACTCAGACCGGAGCTAGCGGAATCAACGGTTAGCTCGAGAACTTGAACAGGACCCCATTCGTTTCAGGTCAGTGCTTACCAAGTTCCATGCACTGTTTTCGGGATCAAAAGCAATGAAGTCGGTATCTGAAATTTCCCAGTAAGTACTTGTCTGCTGCGAAGATACAAAAGAGAAACTGACAGCCTTCTCGCTTGTACTGATTTAACTTGATTGCAGCCCCAGGCTAGAGAAAGATCAGTTGTTTTCAAGCTAATCTGAAGTAGAATGATAAAGAGAACTTACTTTGACCACGAACTTTGCTTTCTTGACCTTGTCCTGAGCGTCGATAAAAGCCATAAAGTTGTTGAACGACGGAAGCATGCTTTCACCGATGTGGTATCGAGGAAAATATTCTCGCTCAAGGAGAGTGACGTTGATGCCCTCTACGAGATATGAATGAGTATTTCCTCAGAAAAGAAGTTAGCTTGATACCTACCGCGAGCGAGTACGGCGGCAGCGTAGGATCCGGCGGGTCCTAGGATCGAGTCGTCAGAATGAGTTTAGCTCGTACCGATGTCCTGAGGCATACCTCCGCCAATGACGAGAACTGTGGTCGAGTTAGGCTGTAGGATGCGGAGAATAAGAAGAACAGTCCTTTTGGCAAGCAGCAAGAGACATACAATAGCAGTGATACCCATTTCAGAGTTTGTGAGGATGTGTTTCTCTGTTCCTTTTCATGGGTCTATATATGCGAAAATTAACCTGTAAGTTTAACGATGCGATGAGATATGGAAAAATGACACAAAATTTAAGTTTGGTCTTGAAATTTTTTCCGTCACTAGCACTGAGTAAAGAGAGAAGGAGCTAAATTTGAATAGACGCAAATACATTTCCGGACAGCAGGATGCCACACGCCGCAAAGACCTTACCATTGCGAGCCCCACAAGTAACAAACTGACACAACGCCGGAGAAGCTACTATTCCTGATTTACTCAAACTTACGGAATGCA